TGCGAGAGTCAATCAATTCACTGCTTTGTACTGGAATTCATTCCAGTAGTGGAGATCTGTGTGAATCGCCTTAGCAGTCTATCCCGGTGAAGGCTAGTCGCCTGTCGAGTATTCTGTCTAAGAGGGCTTGGTCAGTTTAAGAGATTCCAAGCTAATTTAGGATCTTCCGCATTTTAATCAACAGTAGATCAACCAAAGGTAATTGCAACTTGGACCTAATTGAGGAGCTAGGGGGAATCATACCTAAGTGAGTTCCCAACCTGTAATTAGTAGAGTACTTAGTAGAGTAGTTTAGTAAATCAATCCTTAATCTAGTTTGCTAGATAATGAAGTGAAGTTGAGTAATAGTAACTCTAGAGACTCGTGGATTCGATATTTATTACTTTTGCCACTATACTGCAGTCCCTTTCATTGGTTACACTTGGCCATTTTTAGGTGTTGTGTCGTAGCGTGTCAAGTTTTTGGCGCCATTGCCGGGGACTTTCTAGATTATTAGGAAAGGCAGAAGTTTGTTACTTTAGCGTTTTTTTCCCACCCTTGCTTTTCACTTGGGTGTTTTTGTTTTTGTTGGTGCAGATCTGGATCATGGATCCTAATGGCTTCTCTACCCAGTGGGGGTATCCACCACCATCTGAGTGGTATTACCCCGAGACTTATTGGAGCAATCAAGGAGGAGAGGACTATGGATTCGGGTCCCAGTACCAACCCCCTTACTACGGAGAACAATCAGACCCCTGGGCATATGAAGAACAACCTACTTATCCAGAAGAATTCCTCCCACAACTAGAAGGGCCATCAGATCTTGATTTAGCCACAGCCCTCACGGGCCATCCGACAGAGCCATGCTACACTCCACAACCAGATCCAAACTATCACTTGAGGCTTCTCGTGGAGCAGATTGCTCGAGTACCTGAGAGATCCTTTCCCGAGATGGATCTTCATATCCAGGACATGGCCCAAACTGACTTCTCCATTCCCCGTGAAACAGAGGATACCCTTCGGAGCATAAAGAAGCACTTAGAGGTCTAGATTTTGATTGTGTTTTGTTGTATGTGACAAATCCATGTTTGATTATGTTTATTATCGAAGTTATGGATTGTTTTCATGAATGGCGTGAGTTTGGATTCCATTTTCATGTTTTGAGCTTTTGACCTAGGAGTGAGAAAATCCTCTAAGAGCCCCTTTCTTGGCGTCTTTGGGTCACTACTCACCCTATACCGTTTGGGTAATCATTGAGGGAGTTGATTGGATCAAGCTCCAACGATATAGGGGTGCCCTAGGTTGAATACAACACTACCCGCCCATCACTTCACCGTTTCGGGTCCATCCCGATGGAGTTCATCTCCTAACGTTAGAGTAGCGACTCGATCGAGCTAGGATGGTACTCAACATCGATCCTACATCAGAGCTAGGAGGATTTAACCCAAGAGAGCTCTCGACCTTGTAAATAGCTAGGTTAGTAGTTAGCTAGGTTGGCTAAATAACGAACCGTAAACCTGAAGTAGGGTAAGCCTAGATCCCTATGGTACGATAAATTATTATTTCTTGCTTGCCCTATGCTATACCCGGTTGGCGGTTATACTTGGCCGCGATTGGGATGTGTAGTTAGAACGAGTCATTGACAAAACTGTCTTGTTTGAAAGTTGGTGCTAAAATTATTTTTTAGGTAAAAGTAGATGATAAAATAGAATATTATGAAAAAAACATAATAGTGGGTAAGTGAGCGACGACGACGGAAGAAAACTGGTCGGCAGACGATCAGGTCACCAATGAGAAATGCCATTAATTAGTGGTGGGCTCCCACCATAGGCGGAGCCAACCTATATTGCCCTTGTCCCAGGACATGGGTAATATTTGGTTGGTAAAGAATACCCACATATATGTGTATTCAACAAAAAAACACCTACAAGTAATATAAGGATATTTTGCCAATACATCCAACTCATTACTTGTTTAATAATTTATAAAAAATAATTAATTTATTTGTTTCATTCATAATAATTATTCGACAATAGCTTGTTGGGTATTATCATGATGCATGTATTGGGGTCGACAATATTTTTGTTTCCACGTTGACTGTTAGAGTTAACAATTGACCTAACAATCGACTATATAGCGATTATGTGTCATCCATGCACGTGCCACATCAGTCCAACGTATACATTTATTTTATAATATTTTAAATTCATTTATTAATACCATTTTTAGTACAAAAAATAAAATATTTGAAAAACTAATTTTTTAATAGAGTTGTCCTATGTTTCTCGTCCCACATCTCCACCATCTCCCTCTGTCTTAATTTTTTAATAGAGTTGTCCTATGGGATTAGTATAGGGTGGTTACTCAATTTTGAGTAATCATGGTGGCTACCAAAATCTATACCATTCATTATCTTTATTTTATTATATTTTTAAATTAACTATTAAGATTAGCTAAGGGTAATTTAGGAAAAAACATACCACACCTTATTACTCTATATATTATACTCAAACCCTAATACAACCTATCTACCTAGCCGTCGTCTCTCTCTTCTCCCACCCCACAACCTCGCTGACTTCCCTCTCTCCCCCACCCCCCCGTCGGCTTCACTCCTCCCTCCCTCAGCCCATCCCACCCCCGCCCTACGATCGACGTCCCTCCTTCCCTCCGACCACCCCAACCCCACCTCCACACCCCCGCTGACGTCCCTTTTCCCTCCGGCCATGCTCCCCCTTCTTTCTTTTTATACCCACTCCACTTCTCCACCCCATCAAACCGGCGTCGCCTGTTCCTGATGTGGAGGCCGAGCATAACTGTCTGTGACGAACGCGGCAGAGAAGGTGAGAGGCGATGCACTCAGGGTTGCGGCTGGAAAAGGTGGGATGATTTAAAACCCTAGATCTGATTTTTCGCATTGGTAGTGATTTTTTCGTAGTGGTAGTATTTTTTTTTTTGCATTGGTATTGTTTTTGTCGCATTGGTATTGATTATTATGCAATTGTATTAATTTGCATGCATTGGTATTGATTCAATTTGCAATGGTATTGATTTTTTGTGAAATGGTATAGATTTATATTGGTAGATTGTTTATATTGGTAGTTTTTGTGTAATGGTATAGATTTATTTCTGCAATGGTATTGATATTTTTCAGAGTGGTAGTGATTGTCTAATGGATTGGTAGTGATTTCGTGTTTTTTCTTCTTTTGTAGAAAGATTGAGAAAAATAAGGAAAAGGGATCTGGCTGAAGATTATGGAAGTGAGAGAAAGAGAGAGAATTGTAATTAATAGATTCTTGTAATTACCTAAAATGTAATTTATTAAAAAAATTAATTAATATAATTTATTTTTCATACCCAATTTACCCTTAGTAACCACGGTGATTACTACAACCGTAACCTGTCCCTTGTCCTATGTTTCTCTTCGCTCTCAAATTCATTTGATGTCATACCAGATCAAATATGAGGAAAGAAACTCTGATCCCTGAATCTGATTACCTCGCAAACTCTTTGCTCCCCTTTTCGACAGTAAGTATAGTTGTCCTACCATAACGAGGGATGACAAAAATATCCACATTTATGGATATCCACATTTATGGATATCCACTTGAATTCAACCCAATTAGGTAGAGTAAAATCAAAATGCGAAGAATTTTTTTTATGAAAAACTTGTAAAATCCAAAATATGAATATTGTGATTAATGGGTTAGTATGTTGTCTCGCTATCCAATCCGAACTCGCGCGATGTATGTTTATGTATTTTTATCTAGAAATTGTCTTTAGTTTTCTCATCATATTTGATATTTTCTATACATATATAAAATTTCATAAAATTTTCTTTTCTTCAACTAATTTTTTCATTCTAATGTTTTATTGTTGTATTTTTCACTTATGTAACTATAATATACGTGTATGTTAACAAATTTGTTGAAGTTATGAAAAAATCACCAGGACTATTTATGGATAACTATGGATATTTGAAACCTCGGTCGGATATTGACATTATTTTTAATTTCTACCTGATTCTTATATCGGTATGGACAATTTTAAATAGGGTAATGCATATGCACTATCGATCCACAACTCAATTCGTTGCCATCTTTGTAGAGTCACTTCGGAATGTGTTGAAACTGAGGTGATTGTTCACGATTAAGACGATCCAATCCAGCTTCGTCCTTGGGGTCGAGACCGTCGCTCGAATGGACGGCTGTAGAGACGAATCGTAATTCATTTGGTAGGAGCCTTAATACAGGAAGTCGAAAGTAGCAATACGCCCACAAAACACCTGAAGATTATATCACTGTGGATGACTGGATGTCTTCAAATCCTACAAGCTACCACCCATCCGCCCAGTTGTAGAACACGAGTAAGGAGGGCGATCATAATTGTAATTCAAAAAATTATGGAATTCAAATAAAAATTCCGTATAAAATTAGTATTTTTAGTGATATTATAAAGAAGGGTTAATAATTTACCAAAAAAAGGTTAATATCCTATTCTGGTCCGAATTTTACTCAAATAATCAAAGTTGGCTCGTGATTTTAGAAAGTGCTATCATAACCTCAATTATACACTATATAGTCTAGTTTGGTCGGGCGTGTGTTTTGACGGCCAATTTAGAGGTCAATACCGTTGACTAACAGTCAATGCTCCAGCTCATTCCCACGTCAGCATAAAATAAATAAAAATTCAAATTCCAAATTATTTCCAAATATTTTATTTATTTAACTAACAACAAAATAAACAATGGTGTCTACGTTGGATCCAAATTTATTTATCTAGTTTAAATTTTATGAGTTTTTTTTATTAATTTGTATTGCCTACGGGGAATCCACATCAACAAAGTATGATAATTCACTAATGGTCAATGGTGTTGACTGTCTAATTTGAATGAAATTTACGAATCGAGCCAAACTAGATAATATGATGTATAATTGGGGTTAAGATAACAATTTTAAAACCATGAGATAAATTTGATTATTTGAATATAATAGTATTATAAAGAAATATATACAAGTGTCCCACCGGACAGAATTTATAATTATGATGATAAATTCCAGCTAAATGGGCTTCGAGGTGGTCCGTTGTGTTTATTAGTGTTTACAACGTGTCGCCATCAGAAAAGTTGCTGCAGGAAAGGAACCATCAGAAAATCAAAAATTAGAAAACCAGAGAGTGACTGAACGGACAACGACTTTCCTCAATAATTGCAGGCAGCTGCCCTTCCGCTCTTTCCTCTGCCCTGCCACCACCACCCTCAGCCGTCAGTCGCCGCCGCGCCACTCACACCAGACACCACTAACTGAACCCAAATTCAATAAATAATAGAAAATAGAAAACAACCCACTTTCTTCAGCTTTGCTCCTATCCTATTTAAACATTTTTCACCAGACCCCTACTTCCCCTTTTACTCCCCCCCTCTCTCTCTCTTTCTTCCACATAAAACCCAATGGAAGACCCGGAGACAGATGCGCCGGAGCCTCTCCGCCGCCGAAACTCCATCGCCACCGACGCCGTCCCCATCCCCTCAAGGCTCAGTCTTCACACTTCCAGCCTCCCTCCGACAAACGGCTTCCTCACCGACTTGGAGCTCTTCTCCCTCAAATCGCCGCCGGGATTTTCTTCCTACACCTCACTCAAAGACCTTATGCCTTCCTCCGTCGTTAACTCCCCCGCCGCCGCCGCGCACGGGAGCGCCTCTGTGTTCCACGACTCCGCCTACGAAATCTGCATCAGGAACCATCTAGTGAAGCAGGCCGCTTGGGCTTACCTCCAGCCCATGTCATCCTCCCCTGGCTCCGCCAACCCTCACTTCCTCCGCCGCCTCTGGTCGAAGCTCGCCGCCCTCAGCGGCCCCATCAAGGCCTGTTTCCGATTCCTTCAGCTCCGTCTAATTCCCCGCATCGTCCATGCTTTAGACAGGATGTTCCGTGCAGTTGTGGTTGGAATTTAACTTAACAGATTGATGATACCGCACACAAACTCGGGAGCAGAGAGAAACAGAGTATGGGTTTCCATCGCTTGGATGAGATATCGGGAGGGACGATTGGCGGTGATTCTTTGTGAAGTCGTTTTCTACAACGTGAGAGAGCATATGCATATATCATCTGTTCATACCCCATTGCAGTTGCAGGGACCAATATTCATCATCAGTCCAGATGCTCTGCCCACTCACAACCAAACCAATAATTACGATCCATACACGACATAACCTCTTTTTTATGATTGGGGGCACACGAGAGCTTGGCCTTCCTTTAGTTTAGGCTACTCTTCAACTTTTGAATGGCTGTTCAAGTGTAAAATCTTTGTCATCCTGATAATTTTTCCTCGTGTTTGGCATACACAACAACAATCTGATCCCAAATCAAATGACTGGAAAGTCGTAAACGCGATACTTGTTCGTATTCAGTGCTATAGCCGAATCACAACGAGAGGCTCATGTTCAGGGAATTTTTTGGCAAAGCATGTAGTAATTTGGGGTATTAAAAAAACCCAAGTGCCAAAGCTGGAGAGACGATGACTGGTACGATAAATAATGGCCAATCGAAGTAACCAATGGCCGACCGCTTTGTTTGGTCACTGTTTGAACTAAGAGCCTCTTCTTGCTCTACTTGTGAACGGAAGAAACAAAGGAAAGGAGAGGTTGGGTGTCCACATCGCCACTTGCTACCTCGCCAAAAACACTGGGTCCTAGTGATATATGTCACTTTACTTTAACAAAGATTTCATTCGTCCATTATCATTAACTATTATTTGTTGCCCAATAATTCCAAAGTGATCATGGGCGTTTCCTTAACTTTGTGGTGGCTAGCTAGGGTCAGATTTCAAATGTTTCATTACTTTGCAAACAAGGACAATTTCAGATTTCACTGTTCAGCTGACAGACTATATAAGTTAACTCAGAATTGATAGTTCGTCAACTAGGCTACACATTGAAAATATGATGGTATCGTTAGAACAATCTTTCACTTACATGAATTTGATGAATGTACAAATTATGATGCACATCAATCCCAACCAAGCTTGTCAACCCACGCCCGGACCCACTCCTAAAAATGGGCTAGAACAGTCTATTTGTGAGTTAGCCCGGAAATGTTCAAACCCGAAAAAAATCCGGGCGGTTGGCCATCCGAGCTGGTCAGCAGGCTCTCGTTCCTAAGTGTCGTTGAATTTTTATTATGTTGAATTTTAGTTGATGTTATTTAAGTGTGTTGGAGTTTAAGTAGTGTTGTATTTTCTCTATGTTGGATTCAAGATAAGTGTAATATAATTACTCTTTTCATATTTTCGGGCTAAAACAAGTTAAAACGGATGACCCATTAACCTTTGACTCACTAGTTCGACCGCAGGTCATTTCCTCATTTACCATAAGTGTATTACACATATGTACTTAAGCCTATTCCTATGACTAATCAATAATTTTAAAGTATGTTAATAAAAAAAATATCATAAATAAGAAAGTAAGTGAGCGATGACGATGGAATACCGATCGGCAGACGGCTAGATCTCCGATGAGAAACACCGTTACACTTAGTGGTGAGATCCCATCCCACTTCCTTTTCTCCTCCCACTTGAGATTGAACGCTTTTTTGGAGTCAACAAGTGGTGCTGAAAGTGAATGGTTCTATTAATTATGTTTTTAGTTTATTTTATTAATTTTGGTAACCTAAATAAATAATTCGGACAATCCAAATTGTAGAGATGGAAAAATATCCGCAATCGTGAAATTCGCCCGAATCTAACCTAATTGAGAAGGTAAAATCTTAATCTTAATGATTTTTAGTGGATACGAGAAAAATCCGAAACCAAATATTGCGGGTTATGGATTTGCATGGTTCCTCATTATCAGATCCGAACTCGCACGATTATTCACATGCATATGTATTTTGTATATAAATTATCATTATTTTTCTCAACATATTTTATATTTAACATACAAATATAATATTTTCATAAAATTGTGTTGTTTGTAATTAATTTTTTTTCTTTCTAGTGATTTATTGTCGTACTTTTTCTCTTATTATGAGCCAACATTACAATTATAACACCCAATGCAGTTTAGATGGTCTCCGAGCATGACGTTCTCACATCTCTCCATGGAGTAATTTTCTATTTCATCTGGCTATAAAGAACCCTAGCTGTGTATGTTAGGAATGATTGTATGAACCCCATGTTATGACTGATTTATTTGATAAATTCAGTTGAGGATTATTCAGAATTGCATGAGTCCTAATCAAACCTGTGTATTTCCGGTTTTAACCTAGAACGATAGTCTCTGCATAGGTTAAAAGAGCAACCTTTAATTAAAAGTGGTGAATCGACTACTTTAGTCGAGAAATCGATTCACTACTCCATACTGGAACAATGGCCAGTAGTGGAAGTTTCGCTTGTTTAACATTGGTTAGTTTATGTCGGTGGAGGTTAGTCGCCTGCCGGGTATTCAAATCAAGAGGGTCTGGATAACTTTAGTCGAGAGTCCAGACCAGTAAAGAACTTTTCGCTATTTATCTATCAATCGGAGTAATTTGGGACCGTATAACCCGAACTAGCTGCACACTAGGGGGAACCATACCTAGATGACCTTTTGAACCCGAAAAGGACCAGACATTTACTTGCTTTTGTTTCTTTTGCACTAAAATCATTACACTCGCTTAGTCCTGCTAGATAATAGGAGTTCACTGAGTAGGCAGTAGATCTAGAGCCCGGGTCGATAATTAGACTTAACCACTATTATGCATTTCCACTCTGCGATTATACTTGGTCGCAGTTTGGTGTTGTGTCGTACGTGCCAAGTTTTTGGCTTTGTTGCCGGAAACTGCTAGGTTATTGTAGAAATGTGAAAGTCTGTTACTTTAGCATTTACTTTTTTGCATTTTTCTTCTTCCTCATGTGTGCCTTCACGGGTTGTGCTTGCAGTTTGTGTGCAGGTTGTGCATGACCTGTAGCCAGTCGGGTGAGCTATATCCATTAGACCAAGAGCTCAGAAGGACTTGTAGGAATTTCAAGTGAGCTTTGAAGGCGCAACTGGCTGCAGAGGAAGCTTTGGAGCAACTGCACATCACAGGGGAGAAAGAAATGGGTGACCCACAGAAAAATGATGTGGTCATTCCCGAGGAGCATACCATGGGCTATTACTAGACCGTCCGAGCCACAGACATAAGGTCCCCCATCCAACACCCTCAAGTTGTTTCCAATAACTTTGAGGTGAGTACCTCTGTCATCACCATGCTCCGCGGCTCGGTGGTATTCCATGGGAAAGACTGGGAGTGCCCCAGATCGCACCTATGACGATTCAACGAGCTGATCGATGGAATCAAGATTAATGGGGTCCCTGCAGACGCCATCCAGCTGAGGTACTTCCCATTTACTTTGGAAGGGCAGGCCAAGGAGTGGCTGGACATTCGGCCTCCAGGATCGATCACTACATTCGCTAATCTGGCCAACAAGTTCCTCACCCGCTATCACCCTCCATCCAAGACAAGACCTGTAGAAGGAGATCACCTAGTTTGCACAAGAAGAGGACGAGACCATCCGAGATGCATGAGGAAGATATACTAGTCTTTTCCTAAAGTGTCCCAATCATAGTTTTACCGATGCTTTTAGGGTGGGCACCTTCTACCGGGCTCTCTTCCCTAAAGATAAGCAGCTGATTGACTCCGTATATCGAAAAGGATTTGCTTCGCAGCATAAGCAATGAATGTATATTACAGACATTTCCGAACATGAAAAGTCGTTGTGGTTCGTTGTAAACATGACATTTTTAACTTTATGAATTAATATCTAGTAATTTCTAGTTAATTTCTATTAGATTTTTAATTAATTTTTAATTATTATCTTATTTTATCTGCGACACACCTCTCCAACAATTCTGGGTCCGCCACTTACTAAAATATAACAATTTTTGTGAGTATTGTATAAGTTATTGATAATATTATGACTTCAAATTATTAACATCATGAGTAACATATATTATCACAAATCACGTATATATGTTATTGATAGACCATTGATTGCACATGTTTATACCTTCATTCTTGAGCCGTTTGAGAGTCGATTCTCGTGTTTTAAGCCGATTTCACGTTAGGTTGTGTGTTTATGTCATATTTCAGGACTTGGCGTTGACGTGAAGGCGAGGAAACAAGTTTCGGGTAAAAAAGGAGGACACATGAGTGAAGGGCACTGGAAGAGCAAAATACCTGACCAGGAGTTAAAATACCCGGTCGGGTAAAATGCAAAGAGAGGTCGGGGATTTCATGTTTTGGACGCCTGACTTTCAGAAGGGGTCCCGGCCGGATGGCTAAAATACCCGATCGGGTATTCTGAACCTTGATCGGGTATTTCCCTTTTCCCCACTGTGCAGCGTTTAAAAATACCCGGTTGGGCATCTGAAATACCCGAACGGGTATTATGGCCGGGGATCGCGACCTGCTGATTTTTAAGGGAAATAAGACCAATTTTTGGAGAGTTCTGAGTTTTAGAGATAGAAAGCTGATACCTAGAGAGAGAGTGACGAACCAGATTCTCCAAGCGCCCTAGATCGATCTTCATCACCATTGGAGCTCGGCTTAAGCTTGGAGAAGTGTCGATTGATTGCCAGAAGCTGAATCCCATCCTTCACAGCATGGTTTCTGCATTTGAGCTAGATTTCCCTTCTCTCTCTATGGAGTAAACTCTCTCACTCACCTGGGTATGAAGAACCCTAGATTTGTATGTTAGGTCTGATTGTATGAACCCAACTACGAATTCATTGATGTTGATTATATTCAATTGAGGTTTGATTTGCTGAATGGCATGAATCTTGATAAAATTCTTGTTATTTCTGCTTTGACCTAGAAAGAGAATATCTGCCTAGGTTGATAGAGCACCCTTGATTGAAGGTAGTGAATTGATGATTTTAGTCGAGGAGTCAACTCACTATTCTGTACCAGATTTACGTCGGTAGAGGAGGTTTGGTTCGTTAGGGCCTCAATCTGTTTACTCCGATAGAGGTTAGTCGTTTGATGGGGACTCAGATTGAGAGGGTCTGGAGACCTTTAGTCGAGACTGCAGACTGTTTAAGAACCTCTCGCGGTATAACTATCATTGAACTCAAACTTGGTGAATTACAACCTAGCTTCACTGCAGTCTAGGGGGAACCATATCTGGGTGACCTCTCTCAACTTTGAACACAACTTTCACTTCTTTTGCTTGCTAGTTTAGTTAAACCTTCACTACACTTGAACCGCTAAATAATAAGATTTGCACGGAGTAGTCATCACACCTAGGACCCGGGTTGACATTTAGAACTGAACCCGCTATACTACGCATTAGTAGGTGGTTACACTTAGCCACTTTCTAGTGTGACGGTAGAGGCGTCTCAAGTTTTTGGCGCCGTTGCCGGGGACGGCTAGGTTGTTGAAGAAACGTGATTTCTGTTACTTTAGCATTTCCTTTCCGCATTGATTGTTTGTTTTTTCCACTTGTGCCTTCACGGGTTTGCTTGCTTGGCTGTGTGGAGGTAGTGCATGACCCATAGTCAGTCGGGAGGTTTACTACCGTTAGATCCGGAGCTAGATAGCACCTGTCGCCAACTAAGGAGACAACAGCGAGAAAGACTGGCTACGGAGGAAGTGCACCTCAACGGCCATCTAAGCAGCGACTCCGAAGAGGAATATGAGATGGGCGACGAGCACAACAGGGGGAACCTTAACCTGGGGCAGAATCAAACCCTCGGGATGCCCATGCAGGTTCCCCCA